TTTTTTTTTGAGACAGAGTCTCACTCTGTTGCCCGGGCTACAGCACCATGGCGTCAGCCTAGCTCACGGCAACCTCAAACCCCTGGGCTCAAGCAATGCTTCTGCCTCACCCTCCCAGGTAGCTGGGACTACAGGCATGCGCCACCATGCCCGGTTAACTTTTTTTTCTATATATTTTTAGTTGGCCAATTAATTTCTTTCTATTTTTAGTAGAGACAGGGACTCGCTCTTGCTCAGGCTGGTTTCAAAGTCCTGACCTTGAGCAATCCTCTCATTTTCAATCCATTATATTTTTGGATCTTTAGTGAGTTTCTTGTACACAGCATATAGTTGGATCATATTGTTCTTATCCATTCTGCCAATATTTGTCTTTTGATTGGAGAGTTTAATCCATTTATGCTTAAAGTAATTATGAGTAAGGAGGGACATATTTCTGTCATTTTGCTATTTGATTTCTATATGGCTTTTAGCTTTTTTGTCTCTTGGTTTCCTGAATTACCATCTTTTTTTGCATTTAGATAGGTAATTTTTGATAGTGAAACATATAAATTCCTTTGTCAAATCCCTGTGTATATATCTATTTTCTTTTTGGTTATCATGGGGATTACATCTAATATCCTAAAATTAAATACTCTATTTTGAATTAATACCAGTTTGACATCGATATGTTACACCAAAAATGTGGTCCTTTACAACTGTTTCTACCCCTTTTGGTTGTTGATATCACAAAATCGCATCCTTATATACCATGTGCCCCTAAACATAAACTAATAATTCACTTAAATATATTACAGTCTATTAAATTATGTAGAAAATAGACTGTGGCATCACACCCAAAGTTCCCATAATACTAGTGTTTTTAAGCTAATGATTATTTTTTTAAAAATGTTATATCTCTTAAATCATGTAGAAAACAAAGAGGAACTACAAACCATTGTTATAATGATATTAGCTTTTATAATTGCCCATATATTTATCTTTATTGAGATCTACATCGCTTTATGTTACTGTCTAGTGTCTTTTCATTTCAATTTGCAGAATTCCCTTGAGCATTTCTTATAGAGCAGGTCTAGTGGTAATAAACTCCCTTAGTGTCTATCTGGGACTGTCTTAATTTATCCCTCTCTTTTGAATGACAGTTTTCTCAGACATAAGATTCTTGATTGACAGTTTTTTTGTTTTTTTTTAATTTTAGCATTTTGAATATATTGGCCCACTGCTCCCTGGCCTCCCAAGTTTCTGATGAGAAATCTGCTCATAATCTTGTTGAGGATCCCTTTATGTGATAAGTCACTTCTTTTTGATGCTTTCAAGAATTTGGCTTTTGAAAGTTTGATTATATGTGTCTTGGTGAAGGTCTCTTTGAGTTCATCTTACTTTTTGAGCTTACTTACTCTTTGAGTTCATTAAGCTATCTGGATGTTTATATTCATGTCTTGCATCAAATTTGGGAAATTTTCAGCCATTATTTGATCAAATATCCTCTCTATTCTCCTTCTGGTACTTCCATAATGTTTATGTTGGTCTGCTTGATGGTATCCCACATGTCCTGTTAGGCTCTGTCTTAATCCATTTCATGTTGCTGTAACAGAATACCTGAGAGTGGGTAATTAATAATGAACAGATATTTATTGCTTCACAGTTCTGGAAGCTGGGAAGTCTTATATCAAGGTGCTAGTATCTGAGAAGATCCTTACTGCTGCATTATCACATGGCAGAAGGTGAGAGAATGAGAAAGGACAAGAGGGTGCTAAACTCACCCTTTTATAACAGCACCAATCCCATAAGGGTGGAGCCCTCATAGGCTGATCACTTCTTAAAGGTCCCACCTCTTAATACTGTTACAATGGCACTTAAATTTCAACATGAGTTTTGGAAGGGACAACATTCAAATCATAGCAGGCTCTGTTCACTTTTCTTTAATCTTTTGTCATTCTGTTCCTCAGACTTGAAAGTTTCCAATGTCTAATAGGAAGTTCAAATTCACTGATTCTTTCTTCCACTTGCTCAAATCTGCCGTAGAATCCCTCTGGTCAATTTTTCAGTTGTACTTTTCACCTCCAGAATTTCTTTTTGGTTTCTTTTAAGGTTTTCTATCTCTTTTACTGACATTTTCCTTTTGAACATACACTGTTTTCTTGACTTTCTCCGTATATTCTTTAGTTCCTTGAGTATCTGTAGGACAGCTGTTTTGAAATCTTTGTCTAGTAAATCCACAATCAGGCTTTTTTTTTTTTTTTTTTTGAGACAGAGTCTCACTGTATTGCCCAGGCTAGGCTAGAGTGCCATGGCATCAGCCTAGCTCACAGCAACCTCAAACTCCTGGGCTCATGCAATCCTTATGTCTCAGCCTCCCAAGTAGCTGGGACTACAGGCATGTGCCACCATGCCCGGCTAATTTTTTCTATATATATATTTTTTAATTGGCCAATTAATTTCTATTTTTAGGAGAGATAGGGTCTTGCTCTTGCTCAGGCTGGCTTCAAATTCCTGAGCTTGAGTGATCCTCCTGCCTTGGCCACCCAGAGTGCTAGGATAACAGGCGTGAGCCACTGCACTCGGCCTCACAATCAGGTTTTTCAAGGACAGTTTCTGTTGATTTATTTTATCCTTTGAATGGGCCATAATTTCTTGTTTCTTCATATTTCTTATGATTTTTTGTTGTTGAAAACTGGACATTTGAATTTAATAATATAGTAACTCTTAAATCAGATTCTCTCTCTTCCCCAAGTTTGCTGTGTTTCGTTGAATTTTTTTTTTTTTTTTTTTTTTTTTGAGACAGAGTCTCACTTTGTCACCCAGGCTAGAGTGAGTGCCGGGGCATCAGCCTAGCTCACAGCAACCTCAAACTCCTGGGCTCAAGTGATCCTCCTGCCTCAGCCTCCCGAGTAGCTGGGACTACAGGAATATGCCACCATGCCTGGCTAATTTTTTCTATATATTTTTAGTTGTCCAATGAATTTCTTTCTATTTATAGTAGAGATGGGGTCTCGCTCTTGCTCAGGCTGGTTTCAAACCCCTGACCTAGAGCAATCCACCCGCCTCAGCTTCCCAGAGTGCTAGAATTACAGGCGTGAGCCTGATTTTGTTTTTTGATTGCTGTAGGCTGTTGCTGTGCCAAGGATCAACCTGAAGTGTAAACTTAAAACATTTTCTCAGGTCTTTTCTGAGCTTGCACCTGTCCCTGGGCATGCACAGTCACTTCCCTAATTTTCCCATATGTGTTGTTTTTGAATGCCCTGGTCTTTAATGTCTGCCACCCAAAAGGAAAGAGAGAAAAATGAAAGGGGGAGGGTAATATAAGTGCAATAGCTCTTTAAATCTCCTGGAAGTCATTTCAGCTGGAGAGAGTGGAATTGCAACAATTGGGAGACTGCCTGCCTCTTTGTCTCTGTACCTCTGTGATCAAAAGCAACAATCAATGACCCCAGTACAGATTCCCAATATTTGGAGAACAGGGTCCTTTTCTGACTCCCTGACTTCAATAAGCTTTATGCAGCTTGTTCTGGGAGATACATGCATAGCTGCTTACTATGGGGCCTGATTAGCAGCAGGAAATGGGTAGCTGCTATGGTGCTAAGACCTGAAATTGATTGAAATTAACTGTATTTTACTGTCCAAGCCTTTCCCTGGAAGTTGCAAGCCTTCAACAGACTCCAGAGTTCCAAAATAGTTATGTCAGATTCTGCCAGTCCAATTATTGTCTAGGTAGGGAGATAGGTTCCTGGGCCATCTTCCCAGAATACTCTAGGCGTCTACATTTTTAACAAGTATTACATATGGTTCTGGCGCCGGTCATTTGTGGACCACAAACCAATGTCTTACTAACAGAGAAACTATGATGGTCTATTACCTTATGGATCCAGGGAATTACTGCCCTGGAGGTCCATTAAGAAAGAGGTCAAATGATGGACTGATTCAAGTCGGTTTTCTGAGACCCCCTGAGAAAGTTCTGCCTTGTGAAGAGGAGAGCATTTTAATTATTCAACAGATTTACTGAGCACCTACTATACTTCAGGGACTGTGCTAGGTTAGGAAATACATGGTGACAGGCAGATGGCCAGAATCTAACATAGAAACAGTGAGGGGATGAATAATACAGGCATTAGAGAACTTTCCTCAACATGTGCTATCTGTGGCTTTCACCTTTTGGATAAACAGAAGAGTTAATAAGAGACAGTACTGCAATACTTAATTTCCAAAGCAAGGAATGGCACTGGAGCTTCAATAGAGAGGACAGAACATATTAGAAGTTCTACTATTAGGAGGAAAGAGTCAAAAAATTATTTTTGTTTCATGTCTTGTTGGAAACATTCCAAAAAGACTTTATTCCACTTTACTGCCTTATTGTGTACAGCGGAGTAACCATCCCTGGAACTCCTAGGGATCCAAGGGTGTTATAGGGCCATAAGAAAAACCAACTGTCTATAGAAAACTAAACTGAACCTTTACTGATCCCTGAAAGTTTTCTTCTTTAATTACATGCTCTAATTTGCTTTCTTTTTCCTCTATTTTGAATATAATAAAATATATGTCAGATTACAACACTCAGTTTAACTAGTCATTGATGAAGAGAAATTTTAATGTATCTACTTCTCAGCTTACAAAGTTTTAAGTCTTAGACAAGTTATCAAATGTACCATTGGTGAGAATTTCCTGGAAATGTCTCTACTGCTTTTAGGAAAATGGAGAGAATCACAGATATCACTGACGCTTCATTCTTGACTCAGAGATAAAAATTTTCAGTTTCCTGGTAGGTTGTCTGGCAAAACAGGCATGCCTTGGAGGGAAGCATGTACACTGATAAAAACAGTAGGTATGAAAAAGGTAGAGATGCAAATGTTCTATGTTTAATTAGTATTAAATAAGGCAACTTCTGTAATTCCCTTTGAAAAAATTCTCAGTTGCTAATGAAATAGTTTCTAATCAAATATATATTTCAATGTTCCTGAGTCTTAAATCTTTGCCTCAAAGAAAAAGGACAAAAGCTTGATACTTACCTACACACATTTTGACATCATTCACAGTGAAGTCTGGATCTGGCATCCTAAGAAACAAATACCAATAAGTATAAGTAGAGAGAACTTTTCTCTTTTATCCTTTTTTTTTTGAGACAGAGTCTTACTCTGTTGTCCCGGCTAGAGTGTCGTGTCGTCAGCCTAGCTCACAGCAACCTCAAACTCCTGGGATCAAGTGATCCTTCTGACTCAGCCTCCTACGTAGCTGGAAGTACACGCATGCGCCACCGTGCCCGGCTAATTTTTCTATATGTTTTTAGTTGGCCAATTAATGTCTTTCTATTTGTAGTAGAGACAGGGTCTCGCTCTTGCTCAGGCTGGTTTCAAAATCCTGACCTCGAGTGATCCTCCCACCTTGGCCTCCCAGAGTGCTAGGATTACAGGCGTGAGCCACCGCGCCTGGCTGAGAACTTTTCTCTTAAGTGTGAGTTTTTCTTAAAGTACTGAGAACTCCGCAATAAGACACATTAATCTTCACATTTAGGTTTACAATTATTTTTAAACATAAATGATTATGTATTTATATAGACACACAGGAAAAAAGAATATATAACAAACTGTTAATGGTTTATCTAAGAGTGGTAGGTTTTAGGAGATTTAAATTTGTTTTCTTTTTAGCTCACCCATATTTTCTCATTTACCTGTAACAGAAATCATTTGTGTAACAAAATAAAAAAAATAACACTTTTTAAACTAAATGGGAAATTATTTTCAATTATCTACTGCTTTGGGTTATCAATATTGCCATTGTCTATAGTCCTGGGTGTAACATGGCCATTTTGGAACCATATCCAGCCAGGCTGAAAACACTTACTTTATTCCAAGTCCATCGGAATTCTTGAAAATCAGAGGGTCTCTCAAGCCACCCCGCTGGATATACTCTACATTAAAATCTGTCACCATAGGAAAACAATTATTAGAAAGACAAGAGGTATAGTTGGAAAAAAATAAAAGGACCATAAAACAGGTATAAATGGTGTAATTCAGGAAATTCAGAACTTAAACATGGGGGTAGTACTATTAATGAGACATCTCATAAATTCTAAGTAGAAATTATTATCACCCTATCTCTTATTAGCCAAAAAAGTTAATTTTGACCACTACAATACACAAACAACATCCTTGTCAGGTTGTAAGGATCAAAGCTGCATAGTACACATGGAATCCCACCTTCAGTTTTGGTTGGGTAGGCATATGCATAAAAGAGTTTTATTGTACTACTTTTAATTAAACTCAAACCAAGACATGGGAGAAAAAGGAAGAGGCCTACAGGAAAAAACTCCATTAACACTCCTGCCCTAATAAAAGATTATTTCTAATACAGCAGAGAATGATTCATAGGGCAGGAGGATGGGCGGAGGAGTACGTACAAGTTGCACTGTGTAGCAAGAGAAAATAGTTAAATAACATCAACAGGCAATATTTTATCTGCATAAAGGCTAAATCCACAGTTCTAAGTCTATGACTTCGTACACATCAAGGGTCTGCAGATCTGAACCAAAATGATACTGACCTTTTCCTTCCATAAAAGTAACAAAATTGGCATTATATTTGTTGGTATGGAGTTTCTCTTCCAAGTCAAATGTTCTTTTCCCTTCAATTTCATCATCAGAAATGCCATCATCTTCATAGCGTCGTCGCATGGTCCCACGCTGGGAGAGGAGAGACAGAGGGAAGAAATCATGCATTTTTTTCATGCCTATCTTATCTACAAGTGGTCATAGATTTTCCTAATGTGCAAAGTGCTACTTTCAATCAGCTGCTAACTGTCAAGTGTCAATTTTCCTTGCCTTATAGATCTTTTCTTTCTTTCAACTCAAGATCAGCTTATGTTCTCATAATGCACAGCATACAACAAAGTTGGGTCTTTTTCCCCACAGAAACCTGTAAGCAAAACTTTACTGTGGCTTTTTAAATTATTATTATAGGTACATAATAGCTGTATATTTTTATAGGGCACATGTGATGTTTTGATACAAGCATACAAAGTGAATTAATCAAATCTGGGTAATTTGAATATCCATCAACTCAGGCCTTTAACATTTCTTTGTGTCAAGAACATTCCAATTCCACTCTGAGTGGTCCATGCCTGTAGTTCCAGCTACTCAGGAGGTTGAGTTGGGAAGACCACTTGAGACAAGGAGCTCAAGACCAGCTTGGGCAATATAGTGAGGCCTTGTCTCAAAAAAAAAAAAAAAAAAAAGATTATAAAAAAGTTTCAATGAGTCACTGGGTTCTCTACCTGTGAAATTTTTCCTTTGCTAGTTCTTTGAACCTAGAGATATAAATCACAATGAAAACATGACTTTTAAATAGGATCTGCTAAATATTTTATTTGTCCATCATTATTTATCATAGTGGGGACAAACTATCTTTATAGACACTTCAAGCCAGGATATAAAATATAATTGTTTTATAGGAGAGAGCTACACTTAAGATTAGTTTTTTAGCCAGGTGTGGTGGTGCATGCCTGTAGTTCCAGCTACTAGGAGGCTGAAACAGGAGGATCGTCTGAGCCCAAGAGTTCGAGGCTGAGGTGAGCTATGATTACACCACTGCATTCCAGCCTGGGCAACAGAGTGAGATCCCATCGCTATGAAAAAAAAATAGTGCTGTAAAATCTCTAGATAAAAAGATTTGAATTAATGCATCAAAAACCTTTTTATCTCAGATATAGGAAGAAAGCTAATCTAAACAACAGCATTTCAAACAGCATATCATCAATATTTAGCTTTAAAGATAGTACGTCTCTCCAAAGAAGATATTACAAAAGGCCAATAAGCAAATTAAAAGATGCTTAATTATCATTAGTTGCTAGGGAAACACAAATCAAAACCACAATGAGATAGCACTTCACATTCACAAGGATAGCTATCATCAGAAAGATGAACAACAAGTGTTGGTGCGAATGTGGAGAAATTGGAAACCTCATACATTGCTGGAGGAAACATAAAATGGTACGGCCACTTTGGCAAACAGTTTGAAAGTTCCTCAAAAAGTCAAACATATTTATCATATGATCTAGCAATTCTCCTCATAGGTATATAGCCAAAAAGAATGAAAACATATGATCTTGTTTTCAAAACAAAAACTTGTACACAGATGAACACACTAGCATTATTTACAATAATCAAAGAGTAGAAACAATCCAAATGTCAAATTGACAAATGGATTAACAAAGTATGGTATACCTACACAGTGGAATATCTGGCCACAAAAAGAATGAAATACTGATGTGAGCTACAATGTGGATAAACCCTGAAAACATTATGCCAAGTAAAAAAAAAAAAAAGCCAGACACAAAAGACCATATATTGTATGATTTCACTTAAATGAAATGTCTGGAATAGGTAAATCTTTAGAAACAGAAAGTAGATTAGTAACTGCCAGGAGCTAGGAAAAGAGAAGAAGGGGAAGTAACTGCTAATGGTATAGGTCTCTTCCAGGAGCAATGAAAATGTTCTGGAATTAGATAGTGGTGGTCATTGTATAACTATGTGAATATACTAAAAACCACTGACTTGTGTACCTTAAATGAGTGAATGGCATGGTATGCGAATTCTATCTCATAAGCTGTTAACTTAAAAATGCTGTTTACGCTTCAAATTTACCTTTTAATACATAATCATGTACTGCATAATGACATTTCAATCAACGATGAACTGTAAATACAATGGTGTTCCCATGAGATTATAATGGAACTAAAAATTCCTATCATCTAGTGAGACACCGTAGCCCATCCAAACATCATAATGCAACACATTACAGGCGGTCCTTGGGTTACAGCTGAGATATATTCCTGAGAACATCTTTACACTGGATTCTTATGTAACTCGGATCCCTGATGAACAGCGCATATTGATAACAATAATAAAAACAACAATACTATAATGGTTCATATGTGGTAATAATAATACAGTGTAATACTGTATTATAACTTGTGGGAACTACTGTGATTCTTTCTTTTAATTCAGACAAACAGAACATAAAACAAACTTATACAAAGTTTAAATAGGAGATAGGAGAAATTTCAAAGAATATTAAAGGTTAACACCTAATGTTGCATCAATGCTAGCCTAATAGGAATGTTTCAGTTATTCTGTTCTTCTAACCAAATCAACAATAAAGTTTCCATTTCAATAATTGTATTATGCTACTGCTTAGTAATAATTGATACTTTCATTGGAGCACAGCCTTTCACGTGTTCCATTATTCTCACTTTATCCTTTATAATTGTCCCGATAGTCCAGTGACGGAAGCCTAATGCTTTTCCCAATGAATGATGGTGTCTGGCCTTTCTCTGAATGCTTAATTATTTCTACTTTCATTTCCATTGTCATCACCTTTCTCTTCATTGCAGGCTCATCTAGACCAGCAGTGGACTTTTTCCTTTGGAGGAAGAGTCATGGGGGTAAACACAGACTCACGAAATCAAATTAAAAAGTTAACACGAAAGTGATCCTGTGCATAAGTGACCATATAAACAATGAGACTAGCTGCTACAGAAAAGATGCTGCACCAATGAATCACCTATGCCAGCGGTCCCCAACCTTTCTGGCACCAGGGACCAGTTTCATGGAAGACAATTTTTCCACAGACTGGGGCGTGGGAGATGGTTTCAAGCACATTATATTTATTGTGCAGTAAATGATAATCTGTATTTGTAACTGCTCCCCAGCACTAGCATCACTACCTTAGCCTCCACCTCAGATCTTCAGGCATTATTAGATCCTCATAAGGAGCACACAACCTAGATCCCTGGCATATGCAGTTTATAGTAGGGTTTGGGCTCCTATGAGAGTCTAATGCCATCACTGATCTGACAGGAGGTGGAGCTTATGTGGTGATGTGAGCAATGGGGGGTGGCTGTAAATACAGATGAAGCTTCACTGGCTCACCTGCCACTCTCCTCCTGCTGTGCCGCACAGGTTCTAACAAGCCACAGACTGGTGCCCAGTGGTTAGGAACTGCAGGCCTACTACACATGGGTTTGTTTACATATGCAAAAGAAACTAGTTCCTAAATTATTAATTCAATTATTTAATTATAAATCATCCATATGGGGAGTCTTGGGAACCCGCTCATAAGTACAGGATGCCTAAAAGTTGGGTCCTCTGTAACCCGGAGACTGATTGTACTCATGAGTTTGTGGTGGCACTGGTGTAAACCTACTATGCTGCTAGTCATATAGCACATGCATCTCTATTAAATGCACAGCTTCCTTTCTTCCTTCCTTCTTTCTTTCCTTCTTTCTTTCCTTCTTTCTTTCCTTCTTTCCTTCTTTCCTTCCTTCTTTCCTTCTTTCTTTCTTTCTTTCTTTCTTTCTTTCTTTCTTTCTTTCTTTCTTTCTTTCTTTCTCTCTCTCTCTCTCTGTCTCTCTCTCTGTCTCTCTCTCTGTCTCTCTCTCTCTCCCCCTCCCTCCCTCCCTCCCTCCCTTCTTTCTCTCTCTCTCTTTCTTTTTTCTGGCAGAAATTAGTAAGATGTTCTTAAAATTCATATGGAAATATGAGAACCAGAGTAGCCAAAACAATCTTTAAAAATAACAAAAAAGTTGAACTCAACAATTCCTGATTTGAAAACTTACTATAAAAGCTATAGTAATCAAGACTGTGTGGTATTAGCATAAGGACAGACATATAGATCAATGGAACAGAATTGAGATTCCAGAGATAAACTCTTACATTTATGGTCAACAAGCATGCCAAGGGAATTCAATGGGAAAAGTCTTTTCAAGAAATGATACAAGAACAACAGGATATCAACACCCAAAAGAATGACCTCTACCTCACACCACATACCAAAAAAGTAAAGTGCTACTGTTTGAGAATGAAGATACACACACACACACACACACACACACAAAGAAAAGAAATAAAAGAAAAAAAAATTAAAATGGCTCAAAGGTTTACATGTAGGATCTAAAACTATAAAATTCTAAGAAGAAACACACTGTAAATATTCATGACTTCGGATTAAGCAATGATTTCTTAGATAGGACACCAAGAGAACAAGTAATAACAACATAATAGATTAACCCTGGACTTCCTCAAAATTAAAATCTCTTATGCTTCAAAAAGCACTATTAAGAAAGTGAAAAGATAACCTACAGAATAGGATTTGCAAACAACATATCTAATAAGCATCTAGTATCTAGAATATTTAAAGAACTCTTAAAATTTAATAAATAATAAAAAAGGCAAAAGAAAAAACAATTTAAAAATAGGCATATAAGTACAGGTGTCTTTAGAGAATTTTGGTAAGAAAAGAGATAAAAGAATGAATAAATAAATTAAATAAAAAAGGCATACTACACAATGAAGGTAAGAAAATGGAAAAAATGGGCAAAGGATTTGAATAGCTATTTCTCAAAGATATACAACTGGCAAGTACACAAAACATTATTAGCTCAACATCATTAGTTATTAAGGAAATGCAAATCAAAACCACAATGAACCTTGCTGCGCCTGCTGGGGAGCCAGCGGTCCTCCACGCAGGCAGCATCCCATGAGACACATGAGACACACTGTGCGCACCCACAGAAGAGACATGGGCAGAGCGATGGTGGCCAGGCTTGAGCTGGGGCTGCTGCTTTTGGCACTGTTCCTACACATGAAGATTTATTCAAATCAAACAACTGTTGTAACACTTTCAAGTAACTCCTCCCAGAGTACCTGCACTGCCCCGAACCCAGCTACTGCCACCATCAAGGCAGTTGGCAGTGCCCTACAGTCAACAGCCAGTCTCCTCATGGTCTTGTTCTCTCTTCTACATCTCCACTGTTAAAAGACTCAGGCCAAGAAATATCCATATTCCCCAAATGGCATCTAGAATTCCAATGTGGCAAGGAAAAAACAGTTCTTTGTTGAATCTACTAATTTCTTATCTCCTTTAATTAACACAGAAAATGTCGAGAATCCCAAATTGACTGGTTTAAAGAACATGTAAAAGGTTTGACTAGATGATGGATGCCAGTTTTAAAATTGCTGGAGTTTCATATATAAGAAAAAGAGAGGCAATATCCAAAATTAGTCAAGACATGATTTCCTTGAATGTGGCTTAAGAAATATGGACACTTAAAAACTACCTTGAAAATAAGAATAGATTTTATCTTGTCTTGAAATAAAAGATATGATATGGAATGGAGATTCAGTTTTCATTTGGTTCATTAGTTCTATAAGGCCGTAAAAACAGGTACTATAGCTTTCCCGCTACCCACGGAAGGGGCCCATATGGCGTTGTTCTGGATTCCCGTAGTAACTTAAAGGGAAACTTTCACGATGTCCGGAGCCCTTGATGTCCTGCAAATGAAGGAGGAGGATGTCCTCAAATTCCCTGCTGCAGGAACCCACCTTGACCTCCAAATGGAACAGTACATCTACAAAAGGAAAACTGATGGCATCTACATCATAAATCTGAAGAGGACCTGGGAGAAGCTTCTGTTGGCAGCTCGTGCCATTGTTGCCATTGAAAACCCTGCTGATGTCAGTGTCATATCCTCCAGGAATACTGGCCAGCGAGCTGTGCTGAAGTTTGCTGCTGCCACTGGAGCCACTCCTATTGCTGGCCGCTTCACTCCTGGAACCTTCACTAACCAGATCCAGGCAGCGTTCCGGGAGCCGCATCTTCTGGTGGTTACTGACCCCAGGGCTGACCAACAGCCTCTCACAGAGGCGTCTGATGTTAACCTGCCTACCATTGCTCTGTGGAACACAGATTCTCCTCTGTGTTCCGTGGACATTGCCATCGCACGCAACAACAACGGGGCTCACTCTGTTGGTCTGATGTGGTGGATGCTGGCCCGGGAAGTTCTCCGCATGCGTGGCACCATCTCCCGTGAACACCCGTGGGAGGTCATGCCTGATCTCTACTTCTACAGAGATCCTGAAAAGATTGAAAAGGAAGAGCAAGCTGCCGCCGAGAAAGCTGTGACCAAAGAGGAGTTTCGGGGTGAATGGACAGCTCCAGCTCCTGAGTTTACTGTTACTCAGCCCGAGGCTGCAGACTGGTCTGAAGGCATGCAGCTGCCCTCTGTGCAGTTCCCCACTGAAGACTGGAGCGCCCAGCCTGCCACGGAAGACTGGTCTGCAGCTCCCACTGCTCAGGCCACTGAATGGGTGGGAACAACCACTGAGTGGTCTTAAAAGTTCTTCTACAAACTCTTAAAAATGGAAATAAGGTTGATGGAAAATAAACATGAGTTTCTTAAAAAAAAACAAAAAAACAGGTACTATAAAAAACTTCCATGATTCTATTTATGTGTACATTAGAAGAAATTTCCAGCTATTACTGTAAATCCTCAATGTATTGTTTCAGCAGTACTAATTTAATGCGGATGCACTCTAGACGAAGTTCTACATTGTTAAGCTATCACTGTTCTCTTGGAAACCGAACTCTTTTTCCTCTGAGGCTTTGCATTTGGGCTTTTCCGTAGCAACTGACATGTACCAGGACAATAAAGGATCAAAATATCCCCCAAGTCATGAGCAACTCTTGCATATTCTTATAGAGTCAAGTGGTAGGCATTTCCTAGATCCTATTTCCATTCCACAAGAGCACCAGATTCATTTAGCTAAACTGATTCCAAAGAGTAGATAGAATTGCACTGACTTTGATTAATTTCAAAGTGCTTTTTATTTCTGCATTATGTTGAATACTTTTTACAATTTAAGAAATGATGGTTTTTTGTTGTTGTTTTTTTTTAAGACTGAGTCTCGCTCTGTTGCCTGGACTAGAGTGCCGTGGCATCAGCCTAGCTCACAGCAACCTCAAATTCCTGGGCTCAAGCAATCCTACTGCCTCAGCCTCCCAAGTAGCTGGAGTACAGTCACGCGCCACCATGCCCAGCTAATTTTTCCTATATATTTTTAGTTGTCCAGCTAATTTCTTTCTATTTTTAGTAAAGACAGGGTCTCACTCTTGGTCAGGCTGGTCTTGAACTCCTGACCTTGAGCGATCCTCCTGCCTTGGCCTCCCAGAGTGCTAGGATTATAGGCGTGAGCCACCAGCGCCTGGCTGAAATGATTTGTTTTGAAGGAAAAATCACAAATCTTGCAATTAATTAAAAAGGTAAAAATGTAAGAGAGCCAAAACTGTAAATCAAGTATTTGGGAAGTGAAGACTGGAAGCTAACTTTTCATTAAATTCACAAAAACTTTTATACTCTTTCTATAAATACTTTAGAAAAAGTCAACCACAACTATGAGTCAGAATAGCCACATCTGGACCATTTTTGTTAGCAGTCAGTATTTTTAGATAGTTAGAACCTGGTGCCCTAAGCCTAAAAGTGGGCTTGATTCTGCAGTAAATCTTTTGCCACTGCCTCAACACACAGAAACCTTTTTAGAAACAGACACTCCATGAATTCATTCATTCTTTCTTTCTTCTCTTCCTCTCCCCTCCCCTCCCTCCTTCTTTCCTTTCTTTCCTTCCTTTCCTTCCTTTCCTTCCCTTCCTTCCCTTCCTTCCCTTCCTCCCCTTCCTCCCCTTCCTCCCCTTCCTCCCTTCCTCCCTTCCTCCCTTTCTCCCTTTCTCTCTTTCTCTCTTTCTTTCTTTCTTTCTTTCTTTTTTTGAGACAGTCTCACTTCTGATGCCCGGGCTAGAGTGCCATGGCGTCAGCCTAGCTCACAGCAACCTCAAACTCTTGGGTTCAAGCGATCCTCCTGCCTCAGCCTCCCAAGTAGCTGGGACTATAGGCATGTGCCACCATGCCCAGATAATTTTTTTTTCTAGTTTTAGTTGTTTGGCTAATTTATTTCTATTTTTAGTAGAGATGGGGTCTCGCTCTTGCTCAGGCTGGTCTCAAACTCCTGACCTTGAGCAATCCTCCCATCTCAGCCTCCCAGAGTGCTAGGATTACAAGCGTGAGCCACCGCGCCTGGCCTCCATGAACTGTTTAATTCATATGGTCACACATTAATGGTTAGATGTTCCAGTATCTGATGTGGCCACAGCAGTCTTGCTGACCAAAATCATTTTTTTCCCTATCTTTAAAAACGTATATGGGAACAACCAGATCAGACAGATCTGAAGCTACTGTGTGTGTGAATGAACACTCCCTTTTGCTTCAAACCTGAATGCCATATATCTATTTTGGATCGTATATTGTGTTTATGTATTTATGCTTTGATTCATAGTAACTTCTCATGTTATGGAATTGATTTGCATTGAACACAAACTGTAGGTAAAAATAAATAAATGGCTGAAAGGGCAAAAGAGAAAAAAAACCACAACACAATGAGCTACCACTTCATACCTACTAGTCAGATAATAAACGCTGGTGAGAATGTGGAGAAAGTGGAATCTTCATACACTGCTGGTGAGAATGTAAAACAGCACAGCAGCTCCTCTGAAAAAGAGTCTGGCAGTTTTTCAAATGGCTAAACATTAAGTTGCCATACGACCCAGCAATTCCACTCCTAAGTATCTTCCCAAGAGAATGAAAACATATATCCACACAATACCTTGTACAGAAACATTCATAGCAAAATTATTCATAATAGCCAAAAGGTAAAAACCAAAGATCCATCTGATGAATGGATAAATAAAATGCTGTTTATCCATATAATATTGTTTAGCAATAAAAGGAAATCAACTGCTAATAGATGCTACAACTGAAAACATGATGCTAAGTAAAAAAAAAGCCAATTACAAAAGACCACATATATGACTCCATTTATATGAAACGTCCAGAAAAAAGTCAATCCATAGAGACAGAAAGTGGATTAGTGGTTGTCAGGGGCTGGGAGGGAGATGAGTAATAACTGTACTGGGTTTCTTTGGGTGTAATGAAGTGTTCTGGAATTAGATAGTGGTGACTTACGTTTGCACAACTTTATGAATATACTGAAAGTCACTGAATTATACACTTTAAAAGCGTAAATTATACAACACATAGATTCTGTCTTAATAAAATGTCTCGGCCTCCCAGAGTACTAGGATTACAGATATGAGCCACTGTGCCCAGCCAGGCACATGGTTTAAGAATATTTTCTGAGAAAGCATAATCTTTTTCTAAGCAATTTCCATAGCCATTTTAGTTGACATGAAAGGGAATATGGGCAAGTGATGTAAAAACAAAACAAAACAAAAAAGGCAGGTATTAATATTTAATTTACTAGTATGATGTGCCAGGAATGCAGAAGCAGTTTGTTAGTTATGAGAATTTCTACTCCATCTATTGAAGTAATTCACATTTTAACAAAAGATGCTGGAAAAACTAAATAACCACATGCAAAACAATGAAGTTAAATCCTTAACTTACACCATATATTATTAAAAAAAAAACTCAAATGGATCAAAGACATAAGAGCCAAAATAATAAAACATAAGAGCTAAACTGTTTCTTAGAAGAAAACAGGGAAAATCTTCATGACACTGGTGAAGATTTCTTGAACATTACACCAAAAGCACAGGCAACAAAAGAAAAACCCAGATAAACTGTACTTCCTCAAAATTAAAAATTTTTGTGCCAAGGACCCTAATCAAGACAGTGAAAAGCCAACCCACAGATTGGGAGGAGATATTTATAAATCTTATATGTGACAAGGATTAATATCCAGATTATATAAAGAACTGTTACAACTCAACAAAACAACCCAATTCAAAACTGGGCAAAGAAAGTGAATAGACATTTCTCCATAATGACATACAAATAGCTAATAAGCACATGAAAGGATACTCAATATCACTAATCATTAGGGAAATCAAAACCACAATGAGATATGACTTCACATCCATTAAGAGAATGGCTATTATAAAAAATAATGAGCATTAGCAAGGAAGTAAAGAAACTGGAACCCTCAGTGCAGCCTATATAGAAACTAGCATGGTGGTTCCTCAAAAAATTAAACATAGAATTACCATATGATGATCCAACAATTCCATTTCTAGGTATATACCCAAAAGAAGTGAAAGCAGGTTCTAAAACACGTAACTTTCCACCAATGATCTTAACTGCATCATTCACAATAACCCAAAGGCAGAAACAACACAAATGTCTATCAACAGATGAATGGATTAACAAATGCAATATAGGCCAGGCACGATGGCTCACGCCTGTAATACTAGCACCCTGGGAGGCCAAGGCGGGTGGATTGTTCGAGGTCAGGAGTTCAAAACCAGCCTGAGCAAGAGCGAGATCCCGTCTCTACTATAAATAGAAAGAAATTAATTGGCCAACTAACATATATATAGAAAAAATCAGCCGAGCATGGTGGTGCATGCCTGTAGTCCCAGCTACTTGGGAGGCTGAGGCAGGAGGACTGCTTAAGCCCAGGAGTTTGAGGTTGCTGTGAGCCAGGCTGATGCCACGGCACTCACTCTAGCCTGGGCAACAAAGTGAGACTCTTGTCTCAAACAAACAAACAAACAAACAAACAAACAAACAAACAAAAAAGAAATGCAATATATACATACAATGAAATATTATTCAGCATGAAAAAGAAGTGAAGTTCTGACACATGGCACAACACAGATGAACCATGTAGCTATTATGCTAAATGAAATAAGCCAGACACAAAAGGACAAATATCCTATGATTTCACTTGTATGAGATACCTAGAATAGGCAAATTCAGAGAGACAGAAAGTAGAATAAAGATTACCAGCTGCTGGGAGGAGGAGGAATAGGGAGTTACTGCTTTATGGTTATAGTTTTTATTTAGGGTAATGAAAAGTTTCGGAAATACATAGTGGTGATGGTTGCACAACACTGTGAATGGTACACTACTTTAAAAAGTATTTAAAATGGGAGCTGGGCATGATAGTGTGCCCATAGTCCCAGCTGCTCAGGGGGCTGAGGCAGGAGGATTGCTTGAGCCCAGGAGTTTGAGGCTGTAGTATGCCAGTGAATAGCCACTGTACTCCAGCCCTGGCAACATAGTGAGACCCTATCTCTTTAAAAAAAGAAAAGTGGTTAAAATGGCAAATTTTATGTTATATATTTTTAACTATAATTTTTAAAAATTAATAATGTAATATATCAAAAACCACCCTTTGAGAACCACTGTACAATTATATCACTTTATATCAAATAGTTTTTCTTGCCTAAGATAATCACCCTATGAGAATTAGCACAAATGACAGATATATTTTAAAAATGAAGAAATATTCTGCAGAAGTATGTTCTGAAGAAAAAAAAAAATGAAGAAATAGAAAAGTAAAACTGATCTAAGTTAACCTTTTTAGATAACAGCAGAAAACAACAAAAAAGCAAAAGTGTCTAAAGGGATAGCTTACCTCCTGTCAATTCTACTATTACACTTTGCTGTTCAGTAAATCATTTAACTTCTCTAGATCCTACCTTTCCCCCAGAAGTAAACAATTTAA